CTCGTTGAGCCACTACCCCCTAGAGCCACATGGGGGTTATTGCACGCGCGCGCCCACACACACACACATGCACACGCGCGCTCACACACACACACACACACGCACATGCACACTTGAGGGTTGTTGCATGGTGATGAACATGCAACTGGTCGGGAGTAGTTGGGTGCCAAGGGTGGACATGCAACGGGCCACCTCCTATGGCAGTTGTGTGTCAATGGTGGACATGCAACTGAAGAAGAAGGGAAATTCCCACGTGCGCGGCGGGGTGGGGGGTCGTCTTGGGATACTGTTCTTGTGTGGTGGGAGATAAAAACAAAAGAAATGAAAAACAAAAGAAAAAAAATGAAAACAAAAGAAATGAAAAACACCGTCATTGGGTCGTCCCCTAGCAGCACGCGCGTACACACACACAACACACACAGCTGGGACAATTGCATGTCGAGGATGGAGATGCAACTGCCACCGCTAGGGGGGATTTCGTGTCTAGGGTGGACATGCAACTAGAGAAAAAAAGAACACCCCTCTCCCGAAGATTGTCTTGGAATATTATTCTCGTGCAGTGGGAGAAAAACAAAACAAAAAAGGAAGAGAAATGAAAAACGCAACTGCTAAATGTCTAACTAGTGCCTCCTAAGGTCGCCTCACATGTTGATCCTAAAAAGGCCGCAACACATATAGCTGTGCATTGAACGTGTTGTGTATAGTTGCAACTTGTGCAATTAGGCATGAGAGTCAGATATGCCACATGTAGGAAAAAACAAATAGTTAGAAGAAGTTTCATTTCTACCAGCATAGTGTTCCTTATGTTAGGGCGCGCGGCAAGTTAGTAGAAGTTTTTTTAGAAACAAAAATAAAAATTTATAAAACATCGCCAACCCTACCTTTAGTTGCATTATGACTCTTCCTCGACGCCAACAACCAATTTGTAAAAACAACTTTAGCCAACAAAAAAAGTACATGCAACTTTTTATTGCGGGAAAAACATCCATCTATTCATCAAAACATCATGGCGATACAAAAAGAAAATCAGGAGTAAGAAAAATTGCATCCATGCATGTAGACCACCTAACGACAACCATAAGCACCAGAACGAGTCAATGGTGGGCCCCATCATTGTCCCTCCCTCACCGGAGTAGAACTTTAGTCTACTAACAAGTACAACCGCGAAAAAAAACAAATAAAACAACAAACATAGAGTATTGTTTATTCTTATTTACATTTTGAAAAACAATTTATAATAAACGCGTAAGCCAAAAAGAAGTAGTATAACTGCAAAAAGGAAAGGAAAATGAGCATGTATAAAATTACTCGTATGGATAAATTACTTAAAATGAAAAAAACAAGATGACAAGTTTGACACTCTAATATGGTTAGTTGCACCAAAAATTATGTGAAGTTTAAATATATGAAAACTATATTGTAAAACAAATAACAGAAAAGAGGTCACCAAAAAAAAGCAACATCAAGACGCCCTTTGAATTTCCCCTCCTAAGCCTAGGGTGTTTTTATTTGCAAAAATAGAGTGTTTAATTTGCGACACATAATTATTTTTAATAAGAAACTTGACACAAACAAGGCCGAAACCTTGCCCCCGACAAAGAAGAACAAAAGGACAGGGCCCAGCCCAAAAACAAATAGAAGAAACAAAACAAATGGGCCCCATGCTAGCCCCGACAAAGAAGGACAAAAGGACAGGGCCCAGCCCAAAAACAAATAGAAGAAACAAAACAAATGGGCCCCATGCTAGCCCCGACAAAGAAGAA